AACCTAAGAGCGATGGCCTCCAACCCAAGAGCGATGGCCTCCAACCCTCAAGAGCGATGGCCTCCAACCTACTAGCGATGGCTCCAACCCCTATAGTAGCGATGGCCTCCAACCTAATAGCCATGGCCTCCAACCTACTAGCGATGGCCTCCAACCTACTAGCGATCGCCTCTAACCCAAGAGCGATGGCTTCCACCCGCAGAGAGATGGCCTCCAACCTAAGAGCGATCGCCTCCAACCCAAGAGCGATGGCCTCCAACCTACTACCGATGGCCTCCAACCTAAGAGCGATGGCCTCCAACCCAAGAGCGATGGCCTCCATCCCCTACTCGCGATGGCCTCCAACCTATACTAGCGATGGCCTCCAACCTACTAGCGATGGCCTCCAACCAACTAGCGATCGCCTCCAACCTACTAGGTGGCTGTGGCTTTTTGTAACTAACTTGTAGATGTTACAACTTAGTTATCAAACTTATGCAGAGGTGGACTTATAGGAGTTAAAACCTAGGTTATAAGTAGGACTTAAGTAGGCCTTGGCTTTTTCAATCATATTTTTCAGTGCAAACACAGGAGGAGATTCTTGTCATCATCCCAGCGCCACCACATTGCTATGCAATATGTGCTGTTGATCTTGGGTTTATACCAAGATCTGCAATGCAGTCTGCGCCACAAACTGCCATATGGTAAGGAGGTGGAGTCACCTTCCACAATGTTCTCAATTTGGCCAGCTGACTCACCCTCCCAAAAGCGCAGTCTCCTTGAGACCAATTTTATGCTTTGCCGGAGGGTTGGATCTGTGAATGCAGCCTGATCTCCAGTCCAGCCCGGCTTGCTTGCTCCATTTGTGCTTGCTTGCTCCCGTGCTGCGGAACAAAGCAATTGAAAAAAACCACCAGAAGCTGTGCTTGCGTTTGCTCCGCCTACATTCGCCTACATTTCGCCTACATTGTCTGTATGTTTACTTTAGTTGCGCCTACATCTACAAAGCTTGATTTTCTAGATTCCTCGCCTACATTCCGCCTACATTCCCCCAACCCTCAGGAGCACGCTTTTTTTTTTGGTGCCCTGGCCATGGAAAGAGGTCTGTTTGCGCAGTACAGCTACGCCGATCTATCCGATGTGGATATGGATAGCTCGGCCGCGACCCTCATCCTTTCGAAGTTCAGAAAATAAGTCCACCTAGAAAAGTTCAGAAAAGTTCAAACAAGTTCAGACCTCATCCACTTTGTGCAGGCACAAATGCCTTGTACCTGCTCCGTTCGCAAGTGTCCTGTCGCCCCATCAAGTCTGTCCACCAAGACTTGAAGGATTTGACAGACCTGCAGATTGGCCATAGTTCGAACGGACAAAACCTATCTCACCTTTCGCCGTTCATATATAGGCGTGCAACGGGTCTCTTGAGCCACAAATTACAAAACATAATCACGTCAAATAGTTTAAAAAAACATGGGTCTTAAGTTCAACCTAAGTCGAACCTAAGTTAAACTTAAGTAGGAACTAAGTAGAAATCATAAATCCAATAAGTTAGTTGTAAGATCACGAGGCGAGTACTTAAAATACTTATATAGTTTAACACCTACGTTATAGAACTTATAACCTAAGTTATAACTTCAACAAAAAGCCACAGCCACCTAGTACTAGCGATGGCCTCCAACCAACTAGTGATCGCCTCCAACCCAAGAGCGATGGCCTCCACCCGAAGAGAGCAATGGCCTCCAACCTAAGAGCGGTCGCCTCGAACCCAGCGTAAGAGCGGTGGCCTCCAACCTAAGAGCGATCGCCTCCAACCCAAGAGCGATCGCCTCCAACCCAAGAGCGATGGCCTCCAACCTACTAGCGATGGCCTCCAACCTACTAGCGATGGCCTCCACCCTACTAGCGATGGCCTCCAACCTACTATAGCGATGGCCTCCAACCTACTATAGCGATGGCCTCCAACCTACCATCGATGGCCTCCAACCTACTAGCGATGGCCTCCAACCTACTAGCGATCGCCTCGAACCCAAGAGCGATGTCCTCCACCCGCAGAGCGATGGCCTCCAACCTAAGAGCGATCACCTCGAACCCAAGAGCGATGGCCTCCAACCTAAGAGCGATGGCCTCGACCCGAAGAGCGATGGCCTCCAACCTAAGAGCGATCGCCTCCAACCCAAGAGCGATGTGGCCTCCACCCTAAGAGCGATGGCCTCCAACCTACTACTGGTAGCGATGACCATACATTCCAAGAGCGATGGCCTCCACCCTGAGAGCGATGGCCTCCAACCTAAGAGCGATGGCCTCCAACCTAAGAGCGATGGCCTCCAACCTAAGAGCGATGGCCTCCAACCCAAGAGCGATGGCCTCCAACCTAAGAGCGATGGCCTCCACCCTAAGAACGATGGCCTTCAAGCGATGGCCTCCAACCCAAGCGCGATGGCCTCCACCCTCAGAGCGATGGCATTCAACCTAAGAGCGATGGCCTCCATTCTTAGAGCGTTGGCCACCACCCTAAGAGCGATGGCCTCCAACCTACTAGCGATGGCCTCCACCCTAAGAGCGATGGCCTCCACCCCAAGAGCGATGGCCTCCAACCTAAGAGCGATGGCCTCCACCCTTAGAG